CCTTCTATTTTGGGGGGGGGGGTTACTACAAATATAATTCGCTTGAACCAAATTCAGTATCAAGCAGGTCTTGCTGCTTCATGTGCGATGCGAGGAACATCTCTGAGTAAAATTCTTCAGGATCTTGGATGGTTCTCTATTTCACAACTTTTATATGTGCTGCACCGCATGTGCTTATTTCACAAAATTATGCATTGTAGAGTGCCTTCTTATCTTATTAAGTTATGTTCTAATCGCAATCATCATTCCTATAACACCAGAAGCCTCGCTACTAAAAATGCTCCTAGTTTTTTTAGAGGTCGTGTTCTTCTTGAAAAAACGTTCACAAGGGAAGACAGTCGACAGTAGAATATGCTGCACGACAATGCTAAACAACTGCACCGTCTAAAAGACTTTAAATGTTACCTAACTTCTCAATATGTTCAACCTTTTCATAGGATCGTTCTCTTGAAATTCACCATACACGCTTTAGACTAGGTGCTCCTCAGTTAAATGCACCTCTTTTCACTCATGTCTTATCACAGTCCTCGGCATGTAACTGTGACGCTGATAAGAATGTAACTGTGACGCTGTACATATATAACAGAATTTTTCATGTTCATCTCTACTAGAACTCAATGAAGTAAATTTCAAAAATCGTACATACAATAGAAGTCCGTCCTTTAGCAATAGAAAAAAAGTACATTTACCTTCCGTTCTCTTTTTTAATTAAATGACCGTTCTCTTTTCAGTCATTTTTTGTCAAAATTAAAAACCGTTCTCTTTTCTTACTTTTTATTTCCGTTCTCTTTTAATTTCAAATTTTAGTTTAAATATCGAACCGTTCTCCATTATATACAAATTCCGTTCTCTTTTAAATATCTGTCCTAAATCCACATACAGATATAATTAATCAAATCAACCCAAAACATCGTCTATTTCTGATGCGAGGGGCTTTGTATATATTTATTAATCTTTAAACAATAAAAACTCCACTGTGGTCCTTTATAGCTCTTTTAGCGTTTTCAAATATGACGTTAAGCTTTGACAAAATTTATTTTCGACGATATTCTTTTAAACACATTCATGTATGGAAGACAATTTCTGTTCAATCACTTTTTCGAAGATATCTTACTCAGAAGATCTTCGGTGTATGTTTTTTGAACCCGACATTTTAATAGAGCATAGAAACTTTTTTGAATATCGATACTTTTCAGTGTATGTTGAACTTACAAGTTCTATGGAATACATAAATTCAACATTTATAAATCTTAATTGTTTACTTGGTGGAAAGTAAAAGGGAAAGACGCAGAAACGTTTTGACTCTTTTTTAATGTAATGGTGGTTGACCGCTGGTTGATTAAATCAATCCAGTCAGTCCAGAAGTGCTAATTCCGTTCCAATGCTGCTTTGAAAACACATTAGAGCCTTAAGGACCCCCAGGGGCGTATCCAATGGGGGAGGCGGGGGAGACAAATGGGCAACTGCTCATTTTATTTGGAGATTGCCCATTGAAATTTTACTTGGCAGATATACCCACGCAGTTTTTTTCGTATAACGTTTAGGAAGATATATGTAAGAGTGTGGATAGACAGAATTGTTTGTTTATTTTTTAATTAGATAGTATACGTCAGAGACCGAATCGGGTCTTAGGAGAATGACCCAAACCCAACTCGATCCGAAGGTTTTTCATCCGAACCCGACCCGACCCGAAAGATTTCTACCGGAATCCGACCCAATCCGAAGGCTTTTCGACCCTATCCGAAATTTTCGAAACTTGACCTGAATGACCCGGAATATTTTCTTAGATGACCTAACAGTTTTTTCTGAAAGAAGAGCAGACATCTGTAGCTTTTGTAATAGCGTAAAACATTTCCCAGATTTTTTCTCCATGTGTTGGTTCATTCAGATTGTGAAAACCCGAAACCCGAAATCGTTTTGCTCGATCGTATATTGTCATGAAGGTTAATCATCATAATGGGACGCATATTTAAGTCGTTCGTTGTTGTCCTTTCTCTGCTTCAACAGTGCGACACTGTACAGTGTACATTACACAACGTCAAAGCAGGAAGGAAAAAACACTACTTCTTTCCCGATAAAAAAGCTACATGTTGGAAAATAGAAGAGTGAACCGTAATTGAAGAAAATCCCTTGATCGAAATTGATTGAAAATCCCCCCTCCCGTAAAGAATCCCTTGATTTGTTTTCCAGTAGCAAGACCCGAATAAAACCCGAATTTTGTTTCTCGTGACCCGACCCGAACCAATATTTTTTACACTGACCCGAACCCGATCCGATCCGTTTCGGTCTCTGGTTTATGTATTTTTATGCATATTTGATCGAAAGAACCTCATTTCAGTTTTTTGTGTTTTTTTTTGACCAAAAGTGCTTTGGCCCATCAACAAAAACCTTGCCCATGTTGCCCATCGTTTTCTTCCGACACAATAGAAGTTTGCCCATTGGTCTAAAAATCCTGGTTACGCCGCTGAGCACCACCCGTCAGAGAAAAACGTTTTTGTCTTACATCGGATTTTGATGCCACTTTCAGCAAATGTTTGCCATACCATAGTGTGACTTGGAAATTTTTTTTCCTCGCTATCTCTTACCGTTTCGTGGTTTTCCAGAGTCCAAGGTCAGAAACCCATTCTTCACTGTGGGACACATTTTTTAAATAAACTTCAAGCCAGAGATCTCGGGTTGGTTTTATTTTAAACTAGACACCTAACTGCGTGGACCGATGGGACCAGATTTTGATTTAGGTCTTTCTTCGTTTTCTAGAGATCCCAAATCCTCAAAAACTCAAAACATCCCTTCGGATTTTCCGGAGATCCCTGATTTTCTAGAAAACTAAGGCCTAATTCAAAAATCGGCTCCCATCAGTCCACGCAATTAGGTGTCTAGTTTAAAATAAAACCAATCCGAGATCTCTGGCTTGAAGTACATTTAAAAAAAGTGTCCCACACTCGGCATGTTCGAAAAAAAAACGTGGTTTGAGAGAAAACGCTGTGCATTCGTTAGTCTATTTTTTTATTGACGAACGACATGTAGGAAAATGGTTGTAATGCAAAATTACACAGAGTAGTGCAGAGTCTTATTTTGATCAGAAAGCCTGCTCTACAAATCTACGTGTTTAGAAAAAAATTTACTTGCGTGAGTGTCCAGAAAAAAATTATTATTTGAAAACCCTGGTTTTCAAGGCTTCTAGAAAACTTCCTCGAAAACCACAAAAAACCAGCTCTAGATCCGAAAGCGATACAGATTCTGAAAGTAGACACTCGAAGCTATCTTTCCATGTGCTTGTCTTCAAATTGATTTTTTGATACAAAAAGATTTCATTCTGAGTAGGGGGGTCCTTAAATTTAGGCAAAGAAGAAGAACAAATTGGAACAAAAAGGATAGTTTTTGTCTTCGAACGTCCTAAATAAAGAGAACCTATTTATGCTGGAAAATGTTATGCACATGAACAAAAATATAAACAATCAATAAAACATTATAAAAATGCTTTAGATATATGTATAAAACATTTTATATATCATACCACAGCGACTGTTGTTTTAATCTATCAATTAATTGGACTATTATATAGTGTAATAAAACAATATGATTTATCTATTGAGTACTATAAAAGATCACTAATATTTTATGAGCATCCGTCGCCAGTGAGAACAACAATAGTGAATACTGAGTTAAGATATCAGAACCGATTTGACGAAAACGACGAAGATTCTGCTTTTCTTCCAAACTTTGATAATATAATAGAAGACCGAGATGATATTCTAAATCGTATGAACTACCTAATTGGATTGAAATCTGAAGAAAATGATTTAATAGAACCTACAAGTTGTTCTTTTAAAATATACGTACATGGAACAATTGCTAGATTTTATGTTGAAAAACAAGACTATCAATTGGCCATTAAACATTATGAACACGCATTGTTAACTGGAGAAGAGGAACATGAAAATAATATTGATGATGAAAGACAAATAACTATTGCAAAGTTTCACTGTAACATTGGTCATTGTTACGAAGCTCTTGAAGATTACAGAAACTGTTTAGGACATTATAAAAAGTCTTTAGAATTTAATACTTTAGATTCATTACTTAAAGCCAATGTATATTTTACAATGGCATCTATCTATGAAAATAATGAACAACAGTATAATTTAGCTATAGAATATTATAGAAAATCGTTAATAATCGAATCAAATGATAGTAATGAAGATAAGAATAAGGAATTAAATCTTGCATCATTAAATAATAGTATTGGATGGTGTTATTGTATGTTAAATAAACAAAATATTGCTTTGGAATATTGTCAAAAATCAATAATTATTTATGAAACTACTAACAATATTGCTAACGCAGATTATTTAAATGTTTGTGGTAGTTTAGCTTTAATTTATTATCAAATTAATGATTACGATGCAGCATGGAATTATTGTATTAAATCATTGTCAATCAAAGAAATACTCATGAATAATGATTTATGCATTATTGGATGGATTTATGAAATATTGGGTAATATTTATTTGTATAATAATGATAAAACTCTTGCATTTAATTGCTATAAACATTCATTAGATTTATTTCGAAAACAAGACCAATCCAATGCTACAGTTAATAATATTAAACGTATCAAACAGTTATTGAATCAATTTAATAATAGCAATGAACCTTTAAGAAAAAAACAAAAATTATGCTAAATACGAAAAGTGTGAGATATTGCTTTATACGTACAGATCATACACGAAAATGTTTTTTGTTGCTACGTGTTGTCGTGACTCATGAGTTTGATTTCATTTTTATCTATGAAGCACTTTTCTGAAACTGTTAATTATATTTCTGTCAGGTTCCATGTCCTTTCACAAATACTTTTATGAAAAAACTTAAGTTGCACTTCTCTAGAAAATAGCAATCAATTTTTTATTAGTGTCAATTATTAGGTTAAACTTGGCCGTGAGTTAAATTTAACATTGGATACGCAATGCCTTTCTTTGATTCGCTTTTGAAATAGTAACAATGAATGCGTTCATTTCTGTATCAGAGACCGAAACGGGTCGGGTCGGGTCACAAGAAACAAAATTCGGGTTTTATTCGGGTCTTGCCACTAGACAACAAATCAAGGGATTTTCTTCAATTACGATTCACTCTTCTATTTTCCAACATGTGTCTTTTTTATCGGAAAAGAAGTAGTGTTTTTATATCCCCACACATTATTTTCCCTCTCATAGAGGTCATACTTTTCCGTACACTCTCTAGATGTTCTTTAACTCAGAGGTAATTACTTTCCAGACTATTCTTAACCTTCCTTTTCTTCTTGTACACTAGTCATGTTTTAATTGTTCTCCAGTACTTTAAAAGCTCTATATAAGGAGTGTGTTTCTCATTAAATGTTATGTTATATGATATTTGAAAATCGGCCCTTTTTCCACCGGTCTAAAATTTTTTTCAAAACTGGCCATTATTTTGGCGTTTTTTAACCAGTCTAGAGAACTTTTGAAAACCACTATGTCCACACCGTTCATTATAATAAACAAAAAGCCTTTTAATAAAATTGCAATATCATACGACAAGTAAGACCATCCGCTATCTTTTTGACAAGTCGAATACCGGTTAACATTAGAATTTTCAACGCTGTTGGTAACCCATCAATAATATTGATATGAAAGTTAGAATGATAGTTAAGATTTAACGACGACTTGTACACTCGTAGGTACATGACGATGGAGCACATGAATTATAATATGAAGAAAAAGATTTGTTTTTTGTGCCATGAAATAACCATCAGTCGATTAACAGTAAATTCAATAGTCTGATTAGTTATATTGGTTAATTCATCAGTTACATTAAGTGCAGTAACATTGGCTTTATCTACGTTCGCATCATCGTCAGTCCACAATTCTATCACATCATTCTTCAATTCTGCTGGAGCTAAGTTCAATTCTATTTCAATTCTGCCGTGAAAATATTCAATTCTGCTTAACTTGATCAGTCGCCGTACTTCTAAACATTCAATTCTGTCTGATCATTGGAAAAGTAAGTAAACTAATCAAGTTAAGCAGAATTGAAATAGAATTGTACTTAGGTCGTAATAGAATTGAATGTTTAGAAGCACGTAGACATCATTGTTCAATTCTGCTATATAGGAGTAGAATTCTGGAATTGTAGGAACTCTGCCATCCCTCATGGCGCGACAAAGGAACACACTATATGACCTACTCCTGTGACTTTAAACAAGCGTGTTTTGCATACGCATTCCGCGTTCCGTTTACTGCTACTATATTATTACGATCATTAAGCAATGAAGATACTCGAGTTTTATTATAAGTACTTTTGGTTATTATTTTCGCTACTTCAAATGAAGATCATTATAACATTATGTATCTTGCCTACAATCTGAGGAAACATTGATTTGTGATGTTTTATCTATGCACTTCGTTCGTTGCATATAGAGCAACCAGGCAAGTTATTTTATTTCTTTTATAACTTCGTCGATACATGGTTTGTCCTTATCGAAGTTTCTGCTTGTTTCTTTTGCTTATTCAATGTGCATGGTCTATCATAGCACCTGATCATGTTTCACATTGAGTCTCATTTGAGAAACATTATAAGAGAGATTCTGATCAATTCGCTGCTACAAAACAATATGATTTTATGATTACACGGGAGTATTCATGGCAAAGACTTCAAACTATTCCGGGTCATTCGGGTCAAGTTTCGAAAATTTTGGATCGGGTAGGATAGGGTCGAAAAGCCTTCGGATCGGATCGGGTTCGGGTCATCCACCTAAGGCCCGATTCGGTCTCTGTTCTGTATATCATTTGGATTCAATTATGGTTAGTTGTTGTGCAGATGAATTGGAGACGTTGGGAGGAGTAGGAACATGGAGAGGAAGATATAGTATTTTATAAAGTTAGTTCAACCAACGTTTCGGTTTTCTCATGGAGCCATTACAAAGGAAGTAATATATAAATATGCAATCTAAAGATTAGTACACGCTACTATGTATATATTACATGAAACAGACATGACACTTTCTGTAGTTGTAAACTGACTTTTCAAAAGTTATGAATATGCATATCATTCTGCAGAATGCTGTAAGATCTTTTTCCCATCCTTAAGAATTATTATTAAGATATTAATACCTCTCATCTCACCTACTAATATTAAGTTGGATTACTAATTTATTTTGATTCCCCGTAAGAAATGTTAAGACTCCTGTTATTATTCTAAATCTAGCTAGATCTATTTTACTAATCGTTCTCCTACTGTTGCCAATCATCTTTCGTTCACCATCAATTTTACAGTATATGTAGTACAGTGTGTCCTAGCCATCAGAACTCCTTTTTTTTGATTTTTACTAAAAACTGGAACAAGTCTGAATACTGTATTGAATAGCCCCAAGATTTTTCTACCAGATGAGGTGCATATCAACATTTTATGAGAAAACTTGATAATAGGGTTTCTGGAAAACTTGATCGATAGAAAACCAAGTCTTTGGCTTTTAGTCAGAAAGTTTTGCAAGTCACATAGCCTTATAGAGCAAAGAATTTTGAGCAAAATAAGATATCTCCTGGCTGTCTATAACGCTTTTTCACCCACTGCAGCCGATTTACGAATCTCTACAAAAGGGAGTGAAAATTACCAAAATATTCCAGTGAAAAGGCGTTGTGGACACCCGGGAGATATCTTATTTTTGCTCAGAATTCTTTGCTCTATAAGGCTATGTGACTTGCAAAACTTTCTGACTAAAAGCCAAAGACTTGGTTTTCTATCGATCAGGTTTTCCAGAAACCCTATTATCAAGTTTTCTCATAAAATGTTGATATGCACCTCATCTGGTAGAAAAATCTTGGGGCTATTCAAAACAGTATTCAGACTTGTTCCAGCTTTTAGTAAAAATCAAAAACAAAGGAGTTCTGATGGTTAGGACACACTGTACTGCATATATAACACCCAAACGCTTCTTTTGCATATCTTTAATGACTGGCTCCATCTATCTAGATATTCTGACCAACTCAGTTTGTAGAGAATTTCACGGACTATCCAATGGTATTCTTTTACAAAATATGTAGTTTTTCAGTAAGACAGAAAAATGACTAAAGGAGTGTTCCACAGGCGTTTTCCGTAGGTTCAACGCGTTTTTTGCATGTTCTTGATAACCGAGCCAACCGATCTAGATTATCTGACTAGCTCAGTTTGTAGAGAATTGCAAGCGCCATCGAACAGTATAGTTTTAAAAAACATGTATGAAGAAATGAAAAAGTTATTGCAAAAGGCCCCCCCCGATTTTAGGTGAAAACCGCAATGTTTTAATGGAAATTCAATATCGCAAGAAAAAAAAGAATTTCGGAAAAAGGATACTTGGGTTTGTGTTCAATGATGTGGCAGTTCGAATGGCGTCAACTTCAAGGTTCCAAGGAAATCAAAAATAAAATACTGCTCAACCTTTGCATTACGCGCACCTTATATATAAAAAATAAAAATCGAGAGGAAGTTTCACTCTGTCGGTTTTTCGGATTAAGAATTCATTGTATGTACACCATTTTACTTTTTTATCGTTCTTTTGGCTATGAGATAAAGAACGCTTACGAGGGAACATTCCCAAGTGACACACTCCGATTTCATTCGGTCGTACGTCGATCGATAGAGGATAGTGAGCTAGTAAAAAGCCTAAAAGGATTCGTGCCCTTTACTCTTGAAGACCCGGTTTTCTGGAAAACCAGTTTTTCAGAAACTTTGAAAAATAACCAAAACCTTTTCTTAATGATGCATGATTGTAGCCCGCACATTTCTGATTAAAATGAGACATCCTCCAGCTCTACATGACCTTTCTTTGCGAAGTTATACAATTTACAAGAAAAGCCCTAAATTAATTTCTTGTTACTTCTGTAGCTTTGAGATGACAATGTAAATTCTATAACTTCGCAAAGAAAGGTCGTGTAGAGCTGGAGGATGTCTCATTTTAATCAGAAATGTGCGGGCTACAATCATGCATCATTAAGAAAAGGTTTTGGTTATTTTTCAAAGTTTCTGAAAAACTGGTTTTCCAGAAAACCGGATCTTCAAGAGTAAAGGGCACGAATCCTTTTAGGCTTTTTACTAGCTCACTATCCTCTATCGATCGACGTACGACCGAATGAAATCGGAGTGTGTCACTTGGGAACGTTCCCTCGTTAGTATTGAGTAGGGATATTTTTCGATCGTCAATTTAATTTCAGCAAATTTTGAACTACGTGACAAGAAAGAGCACACTACGAAGAACTCAAAAACATCTTTGTTTTTGTTTCGTTTTGTGTGCTGTTGTGAAAAATATTCCGAAGTTTATTTTAAAAATGGCTTTAAAGGTTGAATAATAACAACAACGTCATCCGTTTTTGTTCCTCGAGTTCAGCACATCACTCTGTCTCTTGTTTCTCTCCTTCTGTTTTTTCTCGAGAATATAACAAAGATAATATTTTTAAAGAGATGTATCGTTGATAAATTCATTTGATTCACGATGGGTATTTTTTCTCACTTGTGATGGCCATAAATCCACTCTATACAAAAAGAATGTTTTTTTATTTTATCATGAAAATCAAATACATTGAAGAGAGAGAGAGAGCAAAAAAAATAAACAGAAACGATATATATCACGTAACGCAACCCAAAAAGTCAAAACTGCAGTATAAAACTAAATATTATTCTGACTAATCTAACTAGA